AAAAAAAAAATATATATATATAATATAATATATTTTATTATTAATTTAATTAATTCTAAAAATTTCAAAAATAATTATATTAATTGTATTAAAGATGTATATTTTTTAATTATTGATATTAATTAAAATTCGATTTTATTTATATTATTTGATTTTTTTTTGTTCAAATTTTTTTAACAATTTTTATAGTTTGAAAATTCATTAATCTATAAAAAATACTGTTTTGTAAATGTAAGCAATAAGGGGAATGTCCCTATTTTTATATAGGGTCATAATTATGGGAACCAAAAAATTCCTGAAAATAATTATCCATATATGCATGTATACTGATAATAATAGGAACAAGTTATAAAAAGACAATTTTATTTACTTTAAAAAGTTAGGATGTGGGGTCCATTATTGTCAATGATTTTATCGCCAAACAAACTTGTGCTTTTTTAAAAGGAAGATTTCGTTCGGTTAGATTAAAAAAAAAATCGATTGGCATCCAATTAATTTTTATCGTCGCTCGATGATTCTTTGACTTCCGTAGTAATGTTTAAACTTGCACTGTTACCGAATCCTCTGAATATTTTATTCAATAAATCTTTTTCCACGTGTTTCCAAGATTTCAAAAATTCCAAGTCTTGCCAACCCCATTCGATCAAATTATTGACTTTCCTTTGATCTTGTTCATACCGATATATTTCAAATAGTTCACGAGTGTTGTAGCATAATTTTGATGATAGATATGGAAATGGTAGATTAGGTGAACGTAGGTATCGGAGTGCGTGACGGTAAAGACAGAGCGAGCGGGAGTTTTGTGGTGGCATTTTTTTTTGAAACAGATTATCAAATTTCATCTACGTATGTAAGTTCGAAATTCAGAACCGGTTTTGGTGATTATAATCACCAAATCAAATTCGTTATCAGCAAAAATTTGTGCCTATAAAAAAAAAAAAAAAACATAACGGCGATGTAGCCAACGAACCAATTTCCGCTTCGTTCAAAATATTATAATACTAGTGATATTAACATAACATAACAATACATATTTTCTAATAAGGTATTGTTTTTAAGCGATTATGTTCTCGGGAACTTCCCGAAAGATTTTTTCAGCAGGGGAACGGTTTTTTTTCTCGGTTAGTACTGACCTTTAACCAGAAAATTGTACACGAAATACAAATATACATACCTAAATGAAAAAATTTCGAGGTGTGTTAATTAATCAATTGGATAGTCAATAAAAGTTAAGGTTTTTTTTTCATAAATTACAGAATCCCTCGGCGCGTCCCTTCTCAGTCTCAAGCGAAAATCAAAGACGAATTTACACTACATCGATTGCCACGAATTTTCGTAAATCAATTAGTTCACCGCGCGCAATCACCATAATTCCAAATAAGATAATTAATCGTCACAATTCCATAAAGTCATCCACCTCGGCAATCGAGTACAAGCTTACTCATCCTCGCGCAAAAGTTCATCCTTTACCTGTGATTGATGTCCCCACCCCATCGGCCGAGGAAGCTGTTACCAATATTTTGTACAACACCCCTGCGCCACCACCCACACCTCCCCAAAGACATGTTCTCAACTGTCTTGTACAGAATGAGCCTGGAGTATTGAGCAGAGTGAGCGGAATTTTGGCGGCTAGAGGTTTCAACATCGATTCACTGGTAGTAGCCAGCACTGAGGTGGCCGATTTAAGTAGAATGACGATTGTTTTACGCGGACATAATGATGTCATTGAACAGGCTAGAAGGCAATTGGAAGACCTGGCAAGTATTAATTTACTACATCTCACACGTGGGAATAGGAGGTAGATGGCTATTGTTTAATTAATAATTATGGATCGTTAGGTGCCAGTATGGGCGGTGCTTGATTACACTCACACGATTATTATCGAACGTGAACTGTTGTTGATAAAGTTATCCATTTTGGGACCAGAGCACTTACACGAACAATTAACCGCCATTAAACGCGAGGAATATAACGATGAATTTATGCCCGAAATAGACTTAGGATCCGAGGTAATTATTCTTATATGTTCCCAGATGAATAGTATATTTTTGACGACTGAAAATTGATGCTTTCTTAGCCACCCGATGCCACGTCCGTATTGAGCGAAGATCCAATTATAGCTTCTAATAATTTGCCACTTCTACCGTCGGCAGCATTACGGCACAAGCACGCTCACCTTCGAGCATTGCTTGACCTTTCTAATCTGTTCGGAGCCAAGCTGGTTGATGTAGCGAGGGACAGCGTTGTAATCGAATTGACCGCTAAGCCCTCTAAACTTGATGCCTTTGTCAAGTTAGTTAAGCCTTTTGGCATTCTGGAAGCAACGAGGAGTGGTAAGTTCAAATCTCCGGTCACCTTGTGCATCAAAGATCACTGATCTTCTTTCTGTCATTGCATAGGAATGATGGCACTTCCACGCACACCACTTTTTGACCGCGATGATAAGCCTCCAGAGGTAGAAGAGCAAAGTGGCGGAGTTGACGCTACAATGTTACCACCTGGGTAACCCTGTGGAGAAAATCTTGTGATGTCTTCTTAGTAATATGACGAATCGTTTATAAAGGGAAATGTAATTAATCGACATCACGAATGTACAAAACTGGCGTGTCACAGTTAATCGACGAAAACCAAAATAAGAGATTGTTGATCACAAGATGTATTATCTAATTTTAAAATCAAACATGTAAAAAAATTGTTTTTTTTTTTTTTTTGAAAGTAATTACTGGTTTCTGGCTAGAGCAGTTATTGTACAAATCGGGATAAGACGAACTGCATCAGTTTAACGTGGTATAAATAAACTATAAATAATGGCTCACCAACCATATGTAGTGGAAACCGTGAATCACGAGATTACACAGTTTTTCTCCCCCCCCAAAAAAAAGATTTTCCCCAAATTTTGGAATTGTTTGCATTAAAATCAAATGTCAGGGCACAAAAAATTTTTATATTAGATGCTCGCTAACAATAAATATAAGCATTTTTCGTGTAACCAAAACTAGGCGATTAATTATCTCTCTTTTAAACAATCGAAGTTGAAAATGATGATTAGTGATTAATTGATCTTTCATCGATATTTTTTGGTGGGGTCTCGCAAATCAATAAATAAACTCTGCTTTCTCAAAACTTTGCTGAAAATTTTTATATCAAAAATTTTACCAAAAACAGAATTCTTGTTCATAATTGTCTGATAATCCGTCGTTCCTTTCCATGTTCCCACCAAAAACCATTAGTTCCCTGTCGACGAACACTCCTGAAGATAATTGTTATGATAAACGGACGCCCAATGGCATAATTCAGGAAAAAAATCACCTCGTCAAAAATTCTCGTTCTCAAAAACCAAACACTCCCGAGGCAATTGTTTTGCATGCAGTTGTCGGCGGATTGAGTATGTAATGATCACGTGGACATAAATCACGCGACAAAGCTTTCTTTCTCACTTGCAAATGTTTTCATTCGTTCTTTTCAGGGTCTTATGCACTTGCGCACGTAATTCGCGGGGGAGTAAATTTCTTGTTGAACGTGTTGACCTTGTTTCGCAAAAGGTAGATTTGTCGATAAGGGTCCATACAAAAAAATTTTTTTTTAATAATTAATTAATCATTGTTATCTATCAATCAATCACAGGAGAGGAACCTTTAGGAAAGCATTCGTTCGTGGATTCTTTGGCAAAGACGCAATTCGATTTGGGGTGGCATTTGGTGGTTTTTCTTTCCTTTGGAAATTAATCAACAATGGATTGAGACATGTAAGAGGAATTGATGATAGATGGAATGGATTTATTGCCGGTACTTGTTTGTTATGCTTTCTTAATGGGAAGTTATTTTATTTATTTTTTTTGTTTAACCAACATTTTATTGTTTCCAAATAGGCGCAATTGCCGGAATATCGCTTGCGGCGGAGAAACGTGAGAGAAGAATCACCATTGCACAACAAATGTTTGTGCGGTTAGTACTATTATTACGCGAGATTTGGAATTGATACTCGTGAAAATTCTTTGGAAAATTAAGTCATGCATGTGAATCTTTTTTAGTGCGGTACAAGCCTTTTACAAATGCGGCGGCTCACGGAATTATTTACGTATTCCGAATATTGGTCCTTTGTTATTCATCATATCTACTGCACAAGTGATGTATGCATATACGGTAAAGAAGTGAATGCAATCTCGAATTTATTGAATTCAGCACGAACCGAGCGCGCTAACTGGAAGATAAAATTAGATGCAACCTTACACATTGCCCCCGGATTTTCTCCATTTCATGATTAAAACCGCACGTGTTTCCAAAGAGACATTGGATTTGAATCGAAATTTTGTACGCGGAAGTCCCTTGAAAATGGAGGATGCGTTACAGATCCTTGACAAGTACAAGGGAACAAAACATGCATATGAGGTGGTGTCAAAGTTACCACCTTTTCCAAAAATTATTCCATGGTAGGCACATGATCATGTGATTTTCGAACCAAGGTTGATATATAATAGCATTAATGCTTATTTATTTCGGACCGAACTCATAGTGAATTGATACACCCACAATATGATTCTTGCATATATGCGGACCTAGAAAGATTTTATCAAGCCTTCAAAGGAATCTTGCCAGTTTACGCTACATTAAATTTTGTACCGATGATGGCTCTTAAATTCCGACAATTTTTCAAGAGGTGTGTATTCTCTATTTTGAAGTATTTTACAAAGAGGATGGATATTCACTAATGTTTATTGCCCGACACAGTCCAACCGCATTGTTACACAAGGGTGTCTTCAATACCATCCGATCTAGCATCTTCTTGGCCACTTTTGTTTCAAGCTACTTGACACAAATATGCATTCATCGTAATATTGCAAAGTCTGTTAAAATGAATTTAAATACAAAATATATATATTGGATAACGGGAGTGATTAGCTCCACGGCGATATTCATTGAGAACAAAGGACGGAGAGATGATCTGTCGTTGTACGTAGTACCCAAAGCTGCTGAATCATTGTATAAAATTATGTATCAAAAGAATTGGATATTTGAATTGCATAGCGCTGCCGATATTTGTTTTTTTTCGGCTGCCATGGGTGTCATTATGGTACGTGTTCCTAAAGTTTTTTATTTATTGATATATGGGCATCATTCTCAGACACTTGTTTTTATCTTAAAATTCAGACTTGCTTCCAGCATGAACCTGAAGTATTAAGTCCAATGACAAAAACCATCTTACGCAAATTCTTTGGGAACAATTAAATCTAAAACAGAATATGTATTGTATATGTATGAAAGAAATGTATGCGCAACATAAGTTAAGATAAAAATACCCTGTTACGTGACAAATATGATTGGTTGCTTCTATTCTATCCACAGTGTTGTGATGCGCTCACGTATCACGAACTGATTATCGAGAATGTCAACATTGCTTGCTGGTCGAATTCAAGCGACCTATAAAACCTTGCATTTGAATTGTGACAAGCCTCCCTGTATCTTTCGTAATGTTATAAAACCTCTGTTTTTGTGTCGGTATGCAAAAAAAAGGAAGACGGCGGTCAAATTACTCATGGATTTTGAAACACTTGGAAAGAAAGGTTCAGTATTTCGTGTGTTGAAAATGTATCCTATTGTAAAAAAAGGAATGTTCTGCTGACGCCAATATCTTTGCCTTTTAAAATAGATGATATAGTGTTGGTTAAACCAGGTAATTGTTGGTCGTATTTATACTGCCTTCAACTGGCGATATCTTCCTACTTACAACTTGGTTGTAAATCAAACAGGATACATGAGGCATAGATTGTACCCGCAAAGAATCGCAGACTATTATATTCATAAAGGACGCAAAGAGATTCAAGAAGGTCAAAAACAAATACATCTACTATCCAAAGGAGGTCAATTAACTCTTGCGATCTATGGAACAGGTTATTCATCTGTAAGTTTGCTGTTCTGGAGAATTTTTGTTAACTCTCGCCCTTGCGCCGAGGAAAAATTAATGAGATTCACCGAAATTAGGTGATAAGGGGTGTGCCAAGTAGCATTGCGAAAGATGACCAATATGTTACTCAGTATTTTGGCGAAATACAAAGAAAAATGGCAACGTTAAATCATATAAATCGTCTAGTTTTCAAGCAAAAGCCAATTGAAAATGCTGACAATGACTCGTCGGAGATTCAGGAACCAGTGACCGTTGAGCATGTCTACCGTAAAATCAGATACGAGCATGGTATTACATTCAATACTGATGACATGGAGTTACAAGGAGATGGCACATCCGGTCAAATTCAGCAACCTGGAGAGTACAACTGCAACTTTTGTTTTCGTGAGATTGAGATAAAGGTTCCGGTTAAGATAGTGGTGGAAAAGGACGTTTAATTGTTACCGGAACAATATAATATATACGAAAGTTGACGTGTTTGTAAATTTGTTTGTTGTGATTTGCAGATTGTTTTTGAAAATTGTATTGTTATTGTTTGATAATTATCATTCAACCTTATATTGCTCTTTCGTTTTATACCTTTGTAATTTCTTCTTTTTTTTTTTTCAATAATACATTGATTTATCAAATACATTATTATTTAAATGAAAACTTTTAAATTTAAATAATTTTAAATGGTATATTAATTATAAGTTATATATATTAAAATTTATGTAAAGTAACTTTTTTTTGCTAAATTGTATAAGTTGTATAGTTTTTATTATGGCAGTTTTATAATTAATTGCAATTAATTATAGTAGGTACATATAATTTATGCATGTAAATATTAATCATATTAATTAAGTATATACTACAACTTCTTATCAAAGTTAATAATATGTATCATTGCTGATTACTTCTTAAATGATTAATATTTCGATGGACTGGTGACGACGACTCGTATGTTTATACTTTAAGATCATTTATTTTGAAAATTAATTCGCACGTTTATGCACTTTACTTTTCCTTATCGCTTTGGGAGTTGACGTTAGCGGTATCCGATTCTTTTTTGGATGATTTGATTTTTTCCTCCAGAGCGCCTCTTAACAGGGTTTGTCTTAAAATGACATGAATGTGCATTATTACTCGGGGATAAGTAAAAGTTCGATTTTGAAGAACACTTGAAAAATACCTAAGTTTCATCCAAGACTGAACAAGGTTTTCGGTATCGGGACTTTTGAATAATTTCGATTCGGATAAGTTGTCACGACATATCGGACAAACTTGTTCTGCAGCCAAACAACGTCGTATACAAAGCGAACAGT